TATATATATATATATATATATATATATATAAACACACACACATATATATGTGTGTGTGTGTGTGTGTGTGTGTGTGTGTGTGTGTGTGTGTGTGCGCAATGTACACACACACACACACACACACACACACACACACACACACACACACACACACACACACACACACACACACACACACACACACACACACAATACATATCATAAGATATGACTGATTGTTTTTTCGATCAGAGAGAGAGACAGAGAGAGAGAGAGAGAGAGGAGAAGAGAAGATAAGAGAAGAGAAGAGAAAAAGAGAGAAAAAAAGAGAAGAGAAGGGGAATAGAAACTAAAAGATTAAGAAACTTCTCAGTCAGATTTCTCTCCATAGGGTAATAAGCAGACCCATACGGTAACCATAACAAGTTACAAATCCTGTTCTCAGTAAAAAAAAAAAAGAGAAAAAAAGAGAAAAAAAAGAGAAAAAAATAAAAAAATCGAGCTCCATAGGGTAATAAGCAGACCCATACGGTAACCATAACAAGTTACAAATCCTGTTCTCAGTAAAAAAAAAAAAAAGAGAAAAAAAGAGAAGAGAAGGGGAATAGAAACTAAAAGATTAAGAAACTTCTCAGTCAGATTTCTCTCCATAGGGTAATAAGCAGACCCATACGGTAACCATAACAAGTTACAAATCCTGTTCTCAGTAAAAAAAAAAAAAAGAGAAAAAAAGAGAAAAGAAGAGAAGAGAAGGGGAATAGAAACTAAAAGATTAAGAAACTTCTCAGTCAGATTTCTCTCCATAGGGTAATAAGCAGACCCATACGGTAACCATAACAAGTTACAAATCCTGTTCTCAGTAAAAAAAAAAAAAGAGAAAAAAAGAGAAAAAAAGAGAAAAAAAGAGAAAAAAAGAGAAAAAAAGAGAAAAAAAGAGAAGAGAAGGGGAATAGAAACTAAAAGATTAAGAAACTTCTCAGTCAGATTTCTCTCCATAGGGTTACACATGGTGTGGATGTGAAATCTATGATATTATTAAGCCAAATCAGTTTCATTTCTATCATTATAACTATTGGCGCTTTTCTGTTATTATTGTTATCATGAATATTGTTAATGATAAAAATATTATTACTACTGGTACTATAATACTATTACTACAACTAGTTATTACTATTATTATCGTTATTATTATCATTATTATTATTATTATTGTTATTGTTATTATTATTATTCTCGTAATAATAATGATAATTATTATTACTACTATTTTTATCTTTTTTACCATTATTATCACTATTATCATCATTATTGTTATTACTGTTATCACTATCATTTTAGTGGTAGCAGAATTATCGTTATTATTGCTATTACCAATATTATCATTACTGATATTATTATCAGTAATACTATTACCATGTAATGTTTTCTGTATCAGATTATTATCATTATCTTCCTGAAATACTTTGGTAAAACACACTATTACAGGTACTACTAAATTCTTGAAGGCTGATGATAATGGTAATAATGATAACAATAATGCAATAACAACAAAAACAATAGTGACACAACTAATAATATGGATAATGATAATGATAATAACAATAGGAATAGTAACAGTAATAATGATAATAAATAATAATGATAATAAATAACATTGATAATACTAATAGTTATAATAATAATCAGAAAAATAGTTGTAATGATAATGATAGTAACAACAGTAATAATAATAATAATAATAATAACAACAATGGTAATAGTAATAATAGAATAATAATGGTAATAATAATAATAACTTTCTGTAGCCTAGGGTGATTTGACTTTATGCCGGGTATGTTGTGCAGATGAAAATATATAATCCCAAATCTCTGTTATTTACCATGTGTTCGTTCGGCAAAAGTGTTCACAGTATAGTCCGTATATGTTTCATCTATAACGCATTAGTCTATACGCATTATGCAGGTCATACATATAAGATTTTCATTCAGATTTATACAAGTAAGATTTTACGTAATACCTTGAATGGGTAGGTATGTGGGAGTGAAAGGAATCAGTTCTTATCAATGTTACAAAAACGTGTTTAAGATACCATACTCTCGGGGTGAAAAAAGTGAAAAGACGAAGCTATGGCAAAAATAGTGAAAGGCTGAGAGTTCATTTTGGGCAAAAATGATAAGAATTGATAAGTGTACTCCTTTTGTTTTGATAAATCTCGGTGTTGATTTTTATGACAAGTCAATCAGATCTATTTCAATTTATTAGAAACGTATTTGTGATTATATTTATGATTATTATTTTGTGGTGATAAATGTATGAAATACTTCAATGAATTCTTACAGTCATCGAAAATTATATTGAAGCCGTCGCAGAAAATTATAGCCAGTGATTATTTAAGACATTATTTTTGTTCGTTTCTTTAATCTTGAAAAAAGACAAAGAAACAAAAAACCAGACCTCACACACAAAAGCGATTTTCACAAACTATGAGTCATTATACTCTTCACTTCTTTTTTTTTTATACCAAGCCAAAACACTCTACCCTTCTCCTTATGGGGTTAATCAAGAATCGCATCACTATATTTCACAGATTAACTTCACATCACACATCACTAAACAGACAGATTCAATAACGCTCATAGATTATCACCAAAGAACACGCTGTTCGGTCATTTGCCACCTATAAAATTACTCTCAGTCACTGAAGGCAAGCAAGACACACAGGTGATGTCCGCCAATACCAGCACACCTGGTATTGGGGATGAAAAGGAGGAGCAAAGGGAAACCGAGTTCGTCACACACGCGATGGGTTGGGAAGCGAGGACGCTCCTTGGCGAGCAGGATCTAACACCAAAAATGGCCGGTACTTGTTCAGTCACTGTGATCAGTGGATGACGCGACGAAATGTGGTTCGCAAAACTTTTTTCCTCGCTGTTTTTTTCATGTTTTCTTTCTTAATTTGTACTTGTTAAGAGCTTGTGAAAATAAGCAAGAAGGGAAAATGTTAATTAAATCGAGGGAAGAGATATGTTACAAAGAGGCTACAGAAGAAAGTAGACGACGAAAGTAGGTGCGTGTGAAGTGTTATGCACCTTTCGTAGACCGCGAAGAAACACTATAATCATTTTTACCGGTCGTGCTTACCAACCCCTGCTAAGAATGCATAGGTATTTATGTTACGTGTTAGCGTATTAATGTATTACGTAACTTCAAGAAAATTAAAGATATTTTTCCTTCTAATCATCACAAAGCGGAAGATTACTAACCATTTTTTTCATCAAATATCAAAGCAAATCAGCAAAAAATTCCACGTCTGCTCTCATGAATGGAGTCTCACAGCGGTACCGGTCTGCTGGACTGGGAAACACATACGTCGAGAATACTAAAGACTGCGATCAGCTTTGATTATAGGCTTGGATCCCAAGTTGAAGGTCAACGGAGCTTTCGAGCGCAAGAAACTTGATCGGAAACTATTGCACTGATGTTCCTGTGGTTTCCTTTAGTTTATGATTATGAATGTTCGGTGGAGGAGAGAGAACAGAGGAGGTAGAGTAGAGAGAAGAAAGGATAGGAGGGGGTAGAAGAGAGGTTAGAAAGGGTAGAAGTGGGGAAAAAGAGAAGACAAGAGGAGGGAGAAGAGGGAGAATGGAAATATGAGAAAGAAGCAGGATTACAGTACGGTATTTCACCAAGTACTGAGAGTACTGAGAAACATTCCATAGTACTACCAGCCTTGAAAATAAGATAGGGAAGAGGAGAAAGGAAACAGAAGGGAGAACACCGCTTACAATTTTTAAAAAAAATCTAAAAGAGAAGATATACAGAAAGCAATACAAAAAAAGAAAAAAAAAATCACAACCGGGGAGACCAAAACAAATCAAACCAAATACCTACACAACACACCTACATACACCTATACCCCATCGCTTTACCTGCTCCATCGCGCGTGCCCTCCGATCGCCGAATGGTGTGGGGGGCATCTCGAACACCGATTTTGTACGGCTCTCCAGGCTGCCCGTCCATCCGTCTGCAGGAGGGGAAAGATTGGTCGCTCTTCCCCGCATCCTTCTTCCACGACGCTGACGGAGACTGTAACTCCCTCCCTCCCCCCACTTCCTCTTTAGCTGGCTCCTTCTGTGTGGCGCGTTCTCGCATTTTTATATTTAAAAGAAAAATGTGATGGCGGTGTTTCTTGTTTTCTCGTTTTTTTTTCTGTTTTTGTTTCTTGTTCGCGTTTTCTCTCTTTCTTGTTCTCTGTAAACTATATTTTACTCTCTCTCTCTTTCTCTCTTTTTCCTGCATTTATTCTGTCC